GAGAATAAAAGTTGCACCTTCTTTCTTTGCATGAACATTTGGGTGGCATTATGCAAATCTTCCCACATAGTGAGGTAGATATGTGGGGGTGTATTACAAAATATAACATTTACAACTTAAAGTCAAGTGTGTATATTTAACATAGGCTATTTGTTTTTTTTCATTTCGGCAAATTGTTGAATGCATTCATCAACTGAATAAAAAAATAAAAAAAACTGAAATTTACAAGTCAAGACCACAAACTGGAAGTTTTTTTTCCAGACAAACAGAATCATAAGACCACATGTACATCCTAAACTTTATTGGACTGTTTTAATAAAACTTTTTAAAAAATATTCTCAGATATAAAGATGACTAAATACTGTAAATGAAGAGGTTAACAGCATCAGATCAGTGTTTATTCAACAAAAAAAAATAAAAAATAAGGTAATTCATCCAAAATGTCACAAGATCCTTTCTAATCTTTTTCCTTCTAATTATGCTGTAGGTAACCTCTTCCGTAATGTTTCATTGTTACTCATATTATTATAACATTTATAGGTTATTTCGTGAAGGAAATTGCTACTTCATAAATTCGCGCCATTCCTGTAAAATGTTCCTGTGCACGTTTCTCAAGTCAAGCCGCGATTTTGCATATTTTAAAAAATATGTTTATAGCAATTTAATATAAGGTATGACACGCAGCCCATCTCACTAAATAAAATGTTCGGGAAACTACATCCCCTACAAAACAAAACAAAAAACATTAGCACGGGATCTATTATTTAATCAATTAATTTTTCATCAATTCAGAACGAAATTAGCAGAATAATTGACCTCTGTGAATGTTTACAAATTTAAGGTCACCTTTCCTCCATACCTTTATAAAGATATGGTATATATCAATTAGATGTCATTACATTCCATTTCAACATTCCAGTTGAATATATTTACACTGTACTAGCAGCTATGCAAAATATAACATTTACAACTTAAAATCAAGTGTGTATATTTAACATAGGCTATTTGTTTTTTTTTCATTTCGGCAAATTGTTGAATGCATTCATCAACTGAATTAAAAAAAAAAAAAAACTGAAATTTACAAGTCAAGACCACAAACTGGAAGTTTTTTTTCCAGACAAACAGAATCATAAGACCACATGTACATCCTAAACTTTATTGGACTGTTTTAATAAAACTTTTTAAAAAATATTCTCAGATATAAAGATGACTAAATACTGTAAATGAAGAGGTTAACAGCATCAGATCAGTGTTTATTCAACAACAAAAATAAAAAATAAGGAAACTGGAGGATTAAAAATAAAACTGAAACACAAACTGAATATCACATCCAAGTACATGGAAAATGAAACAGGAAGGAACTCAAACTTGAGACAATTCTGATAACATAGCAGCAAGTTCAAGCCCATTTTCAAACTCAAAATGTCAAACTGGTTTGAAAGGAATCTGTGAGAAGGACTCTTCCATGAAATCGGGTTGAGAATGAAGCTTTACAACACTGAGATCCTAAAACACCCAGCACAAACTCAAAACCTCCATGTAGAGTAAAACCGAACAAAGTTTTCAAACTGCAGGTTTTATGAAACCATTTGTATCTCTCATTACCTGCGGCCCACAAGTTAAATCTGCTCTAAGGCTGAGTCGATGGCCTGAGTAGCGTTTTGAACCGAAAATTGAGTTGAAGTTGGCTCTTGCTGCATTGTTACAGTACATGGATGAAGATGTGGCCGACCAGCAATCATCTCCAGTCAGCCGTCAGAGCGCATAGAATGCATGAAACACGTGTAGAGAGTGAAAATGTAGGTAAAACAGAGGAGATGCAGGGTTTCACTCTCCCTTTGTGACCAAATCTTCAATGTAGGCGTCCAGCTCATCGTCACTGCTGATCTCAATGTCCTGTGGAACAAAAAAAACGTGACATTTCCGAACACGGACAAAAACATTGTTTTTCCGTTGATAATTCTAAAGTCATTTAAACTCATAAAATTTCCTTGGCAATGGCCTACAAAATCAAAACAAATAGCAAAAGTGATTTATACAGGAATGTTATGTGTGTGAATTAGGGCTGTCCAAAAAAAATAAAAAATAATCAAATTTTGAATATACGTCAAATTTTAAATAAAAATCCACATTCGAATGCAAAAACGTTTTTAGGTGTGCGTCAGGCAAGGAAATGCGACGACGATGTAAGTGTCATTGCATTTGAATGCTTTTGTTAGCCTATCCAGTTGAAGCCACTAGATGCGGCACTGCTACGTTGTTCATTCAATATATAGCGGAAAAAGAGAACAATAAATGCGGGGAAGATGTTGTTTACGTCAAAACTGAAACCAAGCCGTTCACACAGAACGCATATTTATCACATTTTCTAGAGGGATATCTATCACCGTTGCACTTGTGTCTCGCACAAGAGAGCCGCATGTTTAGAAAGCTATGTCAAATTAATGTAAGTTCAACTTTTAAAAACAAGTCTCAAGACTTTATGGCGGTTTTCCCCATCCCACTGCATCTCAAGTTTTTAAATGAAGAAAGTACTCTTTGTGATTGGCTTTCTGTCCTTTGTATTAAACTATACATATAATTGTTTAACGCATGTTTAGAAAGCTATGTCAAATTAATGTAAGTTCAACTTTGAAAAAATATGTCTTTATGGCGGTTTTCCCCATTCCACTGTATCTCATGTTTTTAAATGAAGAAAGTACTCTGTGTGATTGGTTTTCGGTCCTTTGAATTAAACTATACATACATGCATGATGCTGTTTTTTTCTAATTGTTTAAGTAACTTTATTAATTTTATATGGTTTATAAACATTATGCACTTTTTTCAAAGATAGTCGTGTTATTTTATTATGCTTTGAAGAAATGTGCATAATATTTAGCTTGATGCGCCTTCTTGTGGCCTCAGTAGAGAAGCCAAAAGCTTTTTTCCCCCTAACTGAAATTATGCCTTTTAAATTCGAGTATAATTCGAATATTGATAATATTTAAGTAAAAAAATTTGAATTTAGTTTTTCAGCCATTTTGACAGCCCTAGTGTGAATGCAGTAAAGTGAGTGAGTGTGTGTGTGTTTCAGACCTCCTGGACTTTCTGCAGAAGAGCGACGATGTTGGTTCTGAGTTTGCGGAGTTTCTCCTCAGATTCCCGAAGTTTGGTTTCTGCCCCGCTGCTCTTCTCCTCCACGGCTCGTGCCCGCGACTCCGCCCGAGTTTGGTAGGAATTACACAGACTCTGCAGTCCGGCCTCATACTGCTGGAAATACTCTTTCTGCAATTCACCATTAATAATTAATGCAGTTCAATTAATGTGGAAGCAGTTCAATTAATGTGGAAGCACTCAAACAATTTAGAATTGATATATCTTTGAAGGCTTCCGTGTCGCAGCAACGATGGTCTGTACTTACGATGGGAAAGGCCACGAGGTCCTCTGCACTCATAGTGTTCACAGAATCTTTAGGGATTCGGAAATCCGGAGGGAAAAAATACCGTAGCAACGTCCTGTGCCAAACAAACCATGAACGACGGGTTGAAATGCACACAAAATGCACATACTATTAACACAAGAAACCACAAACGCACCTCATCATGGTCACAAGGCCTTCTGTGGTCTCTCTGCTCGGCCCGCTCTGAGTCGTGTCAGGCTCAGCAGCGGTGGGCGGAGTAACAGACCGTGCCGGACCCTGATTGGTGTCTGGACTTCGGGACTCTGGAGAGGCGGGACGCATAAGACGGACGTCATCGCTGCCCTTAAACACCCTGAAAACAATCAAACACAAATTAAACATTTGCTGTATACAAAACATTTTGAGGTTGCAATGAAATAGAACAGATCTGTTTATTTGTATGTGTTTGTGCATGTACCAGCGGTCTCTTGGAGTGTTCATGGGAACATAGTCGAACTTGACCTTCCAGCGTATGTTCTCCTTTCCCGTCTCTACTGCGGTTACACGACCCGTGAACCAATCACCATTCACCTTCGCCTCCACCTGAATTCCTTTATCTACGACACCGTTTATTAGATCTATAAATCATACCACACAGTTGGATACATCCTTTTATAAAGCACAACAATATGCATGTTTTACCTTTCTGTGCATTTTTTATCGCATCTTTCTTCAGATCTTCATTAGTGCTATTTGTGATAACCTGACAAGAGAAATTAAAATCAATTAAAACTGCATTAAAGGAATAGTTCACCAAAAAATTTAATTAGCTGAATATGTACTTAAACTCAAGTCATCCAAGATTAGGGCTGGACAATATGGCCAAAATTTACTGGGTAAAAACTGCCAAGAATGCTCACAACAGATGTCTGTACCTACAAACTTCTGAAAAATGAATTTGCCAAGTCTATGAAACCTCCTCCTATAAAACTATATAATACTTTAGGAATAAAAACAGAAGAAATAAATTAATGTTCACCTTTCATTTGTATTTAGCCTATATTCACCATCAAATAAACAGGAGACTCTCAGACTCACCTTGTTAATATTAGTATCTTTAACTTTAACATAGGCTGATTATTCTTATAAACTTAAATAAAAGTGAAACAAAAACATGTTGCTGGAGAGACTTATTGAAAATGCAAATTGATTCTCTGCCAGCAGGAGGCGCTTCTGGAGCGGTAGTAACAGCGGTTTCCCCGGTAACGGCTGAACACAAAGCAGTGCTGCGCTCACGAACGCTACTTTATCTGATAAAATGAAAACGCCATCGAAACTTTTCCCGAAGACAAATTCCTTCAGAGATACATGCATATAAAACACCCGCGTTTTGATTTTGAAACGTGCAGTGCTCGTTTATTCAATGAAGTCAACCTCCACAAATAGGAAACATCGGAAATATCAGAAATGTGTTTAAAAATCATATCACCATTATTGAAAAAATTATATCACAATATATATTGATATTGAATTATTGTCCAGCCCTATCCAAGATATAGATGTTTTATTCTTAATGTGAACAGATTTGGAGAAATGTAGCATTCCATCACTTGCTCAGCAATGGATCCTCTGCAGTGAATGGGTGCCGTCAGAATGAGAGTCCAAACAGCTGATAAAAACCATCACAATGACATCTTGTGAAGCAAAAAGCTGTTATTTGCAAGAAACAGCCATCATTAAAGTGTTTTAACTTTAAATCGTTGCTTTTTGCCAAAAATACGTGTACATATTCAATAATAACACTTCCTCCAGTAAAAAAGTCCCCATCCCTGTTGTCGTCTCACATTAAATGCACAAACATATTTAATAAGAACCATTTTAGACTGTTTTTGCTTCTAACCTGTGCAAATGTTTCTCTGATACAGACGAAGTGACTTTTTCACTTGAGAAAGCAATATTATAGATTATGGACTCGTATTTTAGTTAAAAACTCTTAATGATGGATTTGTTTCTAACAAACACAAAGCTTTTTGTTTCACAAGATGTTAACTCATGGAGTGGTGTGGATTACTTGTGGATTATTGTGATGTTTTTATCAGCTGTTTGGACTCTCATTCTGACGGCACCCATTCACTGCAGAGCATCCATTGGTGAGCAACTGATGTAATGCTACATTTCTCCAAATCGGTTCTGATGGATGGCCTGGGGGCAAGTACATATTCAGCACTTTTTCATTTTTGGGTGAACTATTCCTTTAAGTGTGTATTAACCACAGTTTCACTCTGGTAACTTTGTGTGTGTGTGTTACCTCAGCGTTGGTCTGTTTAACAGCTGCTGGTGTTTTTTTTTCCACGACAGCTTTCCCTCGAGCCTGAACAGACGCCGCCATCTTTGATTTTTTGGGTTGAGGTTCATCCTCTTCTGATGCACTGTCTTCTTCGTCATCCTCCTCCTCTTCTTCTTCTTCCTCTTCTTCACTTTCTTCTTCCTCTGCATCCTCCTCTTCCTGGACTCTACCTTTCTTTAGGTTTTCTTTCTTGCTGGTTGGAGTTTGTTTGCCAGCAGTCTTGGTGGAAGATGGCTAACAAAAAAAAAACATGTATCAGTTTGTGATATTTTTTTGTGCACTGAAACATGAATGTTTAAAGCAGGGGTGCCCAATCCTGTTCCTGGAGATCTACCTTCCTGCAAAGTTCAGCTCCAACCCTGACCAGACACAACTGAACCAACTAACTAGGATCTGAAGGCGCACTTGATAATTACAGACTGGTGTGTTTGATCAGGGCTGGAACAGAACTCTGCAGGTAGGTAGATCTCCAGGACCAGGATTGGGCACCCCTGGTTTAAAGTTTGAGTATATAAGACTACTTACTGTAGTGGCGTGGCTCTGCGTGACGCTTCTGCGAGCCGGTGACTTTGTGGGCGGCGGTGGTGGTGGGGGCGGGGCTACAGGTTTGGCGGCAGCTTTTGTTGCCTTCGTTGCAGGAGCTGGTGATGACTTTGCTTTGGACGGAGGGGGAGGAGCTGGTGGGGTCCGGGTAGGTCGTGAAGGAGGCGTTGCTTTAGGGGGAGGAGTTTTTGCTATCTGTGGTTGACTGACAACTTTTCTGACCACTGCGGGGAGAGGTGGGGATCGTGGGCGGGGCGCTGCTCGCTGAGATGAGCGGGTCGGCTATTAGGAAGGATAAATGGGTCAAATTTTTTTTTAAATTTATTTTAATATAATAAATTAAATAAAACAATGCATAGCATGAAACCTGTCAAAAAGATGTCTAAGTCACATTTACATTCTTAAAAATGATAAATAAATAAATAGAAATAGAAAATAATAATAACCAAAATCTGAGAAAATATATTTTGCATTAAAAAATTAAACCTTATTTTTAGGACGATTATTTTCATGAATTTTAAGCATATTTCCCCTCTAGTTATCATACTGTAATGTGAACAAAAGATATATAAATTAGGTAAATTAAGTATTTAAACACCATGAAAAAAAATAAAAATAAAAACCTAAAACAGGATTATAAAAAGTTAAAAAGTAAAAGTCCAGATGCATTATAGCATTGAGAATTTGACCAGAAAATGTGCTTATAGAGATAATTTTAAAGATTAAACAAAGTCTTAAATGTATGGAATGACATGAGTGCGAGTAAATTACAGAATTTTGATTCAACTATCCCTTTAATAATTCAGATTTAAAAAAATATATTTTGTCTCTCTTGATTGTGTGGTAAAATGTAACCTAAATATATTTTTGTGAGATTTATCCACAAACATCTGGACACAGATACTGTACCTGAGGCGTGCGCTCTTCTGCAGGTTTTGTACTGACATCTAGAGGGAGCCGTTTTAAATCTGCTGCTGATTTTACTGTTGTGGTTTTCTGTATGAGGAGAAATAAAGCATTAATTTACACAAAAAGGCTCAGACGTGAGCTGAGATCATGGACAGACCTGCATGGCCTCCAGTTTTTCTTGCTGCTGACGGATTTTCTCTGATATATCTTTCTGTTTGTCCTCTGATGACTTGATATCCTTTCTCAAAATGCCAATGGGCAAATTCTGCTTCTGCTCAGAAGCATCACACCTAACAGAACAGAACAACAACAAAAAGAAGAATGAGGAAGAAACCAAAAAAAGTTTTGAACAGTTAGAATGCTTCTGCTATCTAATTTCCCAACCTGTCCTGGGTTCCGTCCGGGTTCATGAGACACACCCAGCTGTCTGGGTACCGTTTGTCCACAGCATCCATCTGGAACGGCAGCGTCCGCCACTTCAAACACTTATCTACAGGAAGAAAGATTAAAAACATTATGAAATTACAGTATATTTATCTTCTGAATAAATGTGAGTGGTGTTTGCCTGCTGCAACGATACAAGGGTGGGCTGCCTGTTCTGTGAGTGTTTCTATGCTGTTGCTAGGGTGTTCTAGTTGTTAGGGTGTTTCTATGCAGTTGCTAGGGTGTTCTGGTTGTTTCTTAGGGCGTTTCTATGCTGTTGCTAGGGTGTTCTGGTTGTTAGGGTGTTTCTATGCAGCTGCTAGGGTGTTCTGGTTGTTTGTTAGGGCGTTTCTATGTGGTTGCTGGGGTGTTCTGGTTGTTAAGGTGTTTCTATGCAGTTACTAGGGTGTTCTGGTTGTTTCTTAGGGTGTTTCGTGGTTGCTGGGGTGTTCTGGTTGTTTCTTAAGGGGTTTCTATGCAGTTGCTAGGGTGTTCTGGTTGTTTCTTAGGGCGTTTCTATGCTGTTGCTAGGGTGTTCTGGTTGTTAGGGTGTTTCTATGCAGCTGCTAGGGTGTTCTGGTTGTTTGTTAGGGCGTTTCTATGTGGTTGCTGGGGTGTTCTGGTTGTTAAGGTGTTTCTATGCAGTTACTAGGGTGTTCTGGTTGTTTCTTAGGGTGTTTCGTGGTTGCTGGGGGGTTCTGGTTGTTTGTTAGGGCATTGGGTGTTCTGGTTGTTTCTTAAGGGGTTTCTATGCAGTTGCTAGGGTGTTCTGGTTGTTTCTTAGGGCATTTCTATGCGGTTACTGGGGTGTTCTGGTTGTTTGTTAGGGCATTGGGTGTTCTGGTTGTTTCTTAGGGCACTGAGTGTTCTGGTTATTTCTAAGGGGGTTTCTATGCAGTTGCTGGGGTGTTCTAGATGTTTGTTAGGGCATTGGGTGTTCTGGTTGTTTCTTAGGGCACTGAGTGTTCTGGTTATTTCTTAGGGGGTTTCTATGCAGTTGCTGGGGTGTTCTGGTTGTTTCTTAGGGCATTTCTTTGCAGTTGCTGGGGTGTTCTGGTTGTTTGTTAGGGCATTGGGTGTTCTGGTTGTTTCTTAGGGTATTGGGGGTTCTGGTTATTTCTTAGGGCGTTTATATGCAGTTGCTAGGGTGTTCTAGTTGTTTCTTAGGGCACTGAGTGTTCTGGTTATTTCTTAGGGGGTTTCTATGCAGTTGCTGGGGTGTTCTGGTTGTTTGTTAGGGCATTGGGTGTTCTGGTTGTTTCTTAGGGTATTGGGGGTTCTGGTTATTTCTTAGGGCGTTTATATGCAGTTGCTAGGGTGTTCTAGTTGTTTCTTAGGGCACTGAGTGTTCTGGTTATCTTTTAGGGTGTTGCTATGCTGTTGCTAAGTTGTTCTGTTTTTTTTCATAGGGCATTACTATGTGTTTGCTAGTGTGTTTTTAGGCGGTTTCTTGCTGACCCTAGTCAAAAGATCCCATCTACATGACTTTAGTCACTAATTCAATGCAAGTCTACAAAATTTTCCAATCTTTAGCATCTGCCAGGTAGGAATCGGATCACTTTGCATATAATAATTAGCAAAAATACACCAGCCCATAACAACTGCCAATATTTGAAGCAACATTCATGTCTGTAGCACAAAAGTTCATTACTTTAGATTAGGAGTTAGGATCAAATCAGTAATCTTGATTATGACCAAAATATACTTTTGCCATATTTATGCAAATAAATATTTGCCATGTTAAAGGAACTTTTGGAAGGGCTGACTGGAAGTTTATGTTCATACCACACTGGATGGTGACCGGGATCTCCATGGCTCTCCGTCTGCGAAACCGGAGTTCATTTGAGGGGACGGAGTTCCAGTTAGCCGACAAATAACCAAATTCATCCCAGAATTTCACTATGCCCTTCTGAGCTGTTGAGGGAAACATTTCATTCCATGTTCAATTTATTTCAAAAAATATTTTTAGCTATTAAACTAACAAATTAATCATTCATAATTTAACGGATATTTCATAAACGTCAGCACATATTACACAAAAAGAAAGACACACAGACTGACCTATACCGATGTCCTTCCAGTACTGGGCGAGATATTCTCCCATGGCTCTCAGTAAGTGTCTGTATTCTTTAGCATCTGCAAAGTCCTGCTTGTTGTGTGTTGGTTCGAGCACTAGATAGGGAACATCCACTACTCCTACAACACCCCCACAGGCCCTGATACACCCACAGACAGTAGTTATCCATACTGTTAATGCTATTGTTACACATCAGCTTACATAATGAAGTGTGTGCGTTTTTCACTCACATTCCTCCCTCCAGCTGTGGTCCTGTCTTCTCGTACATCTTAATGAGACGGCTGCAGTTATAGATGAACATTCCGTCCTGGTCTCGTCTCTCGATGTTCACACCGAATATAAAGTTCAGCTCTTTGGGCTCTTTCAAAGCTCTGAAATGGGAAGAAAAACAGACAAAATATCTCAAGGTACTCTTTAAGAGGTCATAGTGTGTTTGTAGGTGCGCATTACATGTTTTAGGCGTGTATTACTTTTGTTTGGATGCATGGATGGCTTGTTTTCTAGTAGCTTCGGCACGTAACGCCACAGCCGAATCTTGTGCCTTTCTCAGAGCGGCCTGAAATCAGTGACAGAAAATAAAACACATATATTAAAAACCTGCAGATCCAACAAACACGGCGTGTTTGCAGCAGCTTTGAGCAATATAGCCAATCACAGACATATCTGTTGATTTCATGAACGCAATCCACTCACCCCACCCAAAATGCCGGTGTTCTGTTAAGTTATGCTGAGTTCTCTCAAATAAGAGATTAACTGTGCAGTGTAAAGCTTCTTTGATTCTTTTTAATTAACTTAGTGAGATCACGATGATCTACAGTAAGATGAGTGACAGCTTTCCAGTGATTATAAGGGGTGCACACATTGCGCACTATAATCCATTCAGAATTGACATACATTCACTCACGGATTCACTCACTGATAACCATTTATCCAATATTGCCACTTGCCATTGTTACGTACTACATCAGTTAACTAAGTGAAGGTGAAGCAGGTGCTTGCTCAGCGAAATGCGTCTGTATGCACACTGCACGTGTCGACACGCGCCTGCATGTATAGCATTATTTATTCTTTTACCATGCAGCAAACTTACAAATATTTGTGGAAAAAAAAAACGTACCAAAAAACAAAAACATTTTAAACCGTTTAACTGATAGTATTAATCGGTTAAAATTCTTACTATCGGTTAAATTGCCCCTATTATGCCATTTCCAATATTTTTAATTTCCTGCCTTTCATGCAGTGTGTAATGTAGCTGTATGTGAATGTAAACGATCTGCAAAGCTGTAAAGCTGAAAGTGCACGATAAATAAAGTTATTGTCTCCCAAAATAAAGAATCGACTCTGACCAGCTGAAACGAGTCGTTAGTAATTCGAATCCCACTTCCGTGACGGCTACATGTTACGGGGTAACACATTTGCATAATGCGCACCTATGTTCTACGTTGGCCGGCCGCGAACAATTTGACCCGCCCACAAACACATCATTCTACTGACGACTGCTTCTCTAATCTCGGCGAGTTCAACGCGGGATTCACAAAACGCTTGCTGTTGAAAGATGGATCAGTATCCTGTTTATTTGGATCAGCTGCTGCACTGAATCACAACCTGGAAGTATGATAAATAATAGATGTTTAAATTTTCTATATAGTGTTCAAAATACATAACTATTGAAATAGGCCTATCGTTTCCGACACGTGCTGTACGCCGTAGACCAATCACAACAGACTAGGCCATCTGACCAATCAGAGCAGAGCAGGCTCACGGAAAGGAGGGGTTTAGAGAGACTGAATCTTTGAACTGCTTCGAATGAATCGTTTGAGAATCATTGGAAAATGAGCAGATATTAAATGCATATTTTGAGAAAACGAAAGCGTTTTTTGAGCTTGCATGCATAGAATCCTATTGTAGGAGACTCCCAAAACAATATTAGGAACCGTAAAAAATGGCATAATTGGGGCACTTTAATGGTTAAACGGTCAATATGAGCATCCCTACGCTCACCCCTAATGTATGGAATGAAAGATCTAGATTCTACTACATGTTAGTTTGCTTATTTTGCTAAAGTGCATGCTCTATTTACAATCGTGGCCAGAATTGTTGGTGCCCATGGTAAATATGATCAAAGAAGGCTATGAGAATAAACCTGCATTATTTATCCTTTTGATCTTTTATTTTAAAAAAATCTAACCTGTCATTGAACTAAAACAATTGAAAATGGGGGAAAATCTCATTATGAAATAAATGTTTTCCTCAAATACACCTTGGACACAATTATTGGTACCCCTAGAAATTATAAGTAAAATCTCTGAACTTTATTCCCAATCATATTTACAATTTTAGGCATACCAGGGTGATTATGAACATGAAATTATCCAGCCATGGCTTCCTGTTTCACAGGAATATCAATACGAGGGAAAACAAAGGCCAAATTCCCTTAATCATCCATCACAAAAAAACAAAGAATATGCTTTTGGGAAACAATTTGATGGCCCAAGTCAGTCCTTATTCATTGGACATTCTTGTAATCATTTGCTTTTGTTTCACAGAAAAGTTGATATCCTTGATCTTTGACGGAGATGTGTGTGTGTTGAGGTGGTTGTGAGGTCTTACTCTGGCTTCTTTGGATAAATCATCACCAAGCTTTAACTCCAGGGCACGAGCTTTACTCTCGGCCTCTCGTGCCTTCTCCTCAGCTAGAGAGGAAGTCAAACATGCACAAGAGAAAAAAAGAAAGAAAGAAGAGACATAAGTGATTTGATTTTACAGCACAAAGTCTAATTCACTAAGAATCCAGTCAAAAACATTTACTTTTCTTCCTTTGTTCCAATCTTTATCAAGGGAAGAGCAAAAAGATGCATTTATAAATATGCCAATTGTGCGTGAAAGCGAGCCGCTATATCAGGGATCCTCAAATCTGGCCCATGAAATCCACTTTCCTGCAGAGTTTAGCTCTAACCCTAATCAAACACACCTGAGCATGCTAATCAATGTGTTCAGGATCATTAGACAATCACAGGTAGGTGAGTTTGATCAGGGTTGGAGCTAAACTCTGCAGTGCATTGGCCCTCCAGGGCAAGATTTGAGGAACCCGGCGCTATATCCTGTCAAAACTTGTGGTTCAGTATTTGAAGAGGTTAAAAGCAGAAATGGTCAGTTAGAGGAAATGCCATTAGAAGCCACAAAGCCTGAAGTCAACTTCCCTTAACGCCCAATTCTAGTCAACTTTGAGATGTTCATGTGTACTGAGGTTAAGCTCACCAAGTTTCGAGAGGTGATCTGCCTTCTTGACCTCCTGCTCCGCACGGGTTTTAAAGCGCGTTGATGTGTATTTGTACATCCTAGAAGTTAAAAGAAAATAATGCGTAACATATATTGAGTCCGGAATTTTTACCACCGCCTCTGAGGGAGTTTTCACACTTGATTTAGTTCACAAGAACTGCTAGTAAAAAACTTATAAACTAGCATTTTTTCACAACTTTAAGAGGTAATTTTTGTGTTAAAAAGCCCCCTGAGACTGTGTATGTGTGAAACTGGTATTTTTCGTGATTACCTAGGGTTATATAAGCAACAGGACAATCTCTTAGTTCTGACTTTGTGACCCTGTATGAAGATCCTCATTCTGGGATCGATGTACAGGACAGCAGCATATGCACGGAATGATCTCCTCTCTGGCTTCCTGTTTGCAACACAAACATACGTGTTAGTATCACATCCAACACTGCATTCACATGATAAAAACACTTGCCACATGCCAGCTCAAGAGAAACATCAGTCGGTATATGATAATTCTTCTCCTGGAAGCCCAACTTCCTATAGAGTTTAACTCCAATCTGATCCACCACTGTTGTCTAGAAGTTTCAAGCAATCCTGAAGACGCTGACTAGCAGATTTAAAGGAATAGTTCACCCCAAAATTTTAATTAGCTAAAAATGTACTCGCCTTCATACCATCCAAGATGTAGATGAGTTTGTTTCTTCACCAGAACAGATTTGGAGAAATGTAGCATTACATCACTTGCTCACCAATGGATGCTCTGCAGTGAATGGGTGCCGTCAGAATGAGAGTCCAAACAGCTGATAAAAACCATCACAATAATCTACACGACTACAGTCTAGCAATTAACATCTTGTGGAAATGAAAAGCTTGTTTTTGAAAGAAACAAATCCACCATTAAGACATTTTTAACTTTAAACGGTTGCTTCTGGCTAATATACAAGTCCATAATATTAGTTTCTCAAATGAAAAAGCCATCTAGTCTGAATCAGATGAGAAATATATACCAAGCACAGTTTACAAGATAAAACGGTCCAAAACTGATCTAAACAAATATGCTAGTGGGCTTTGATGTGAGAGGACGAGGGATGGACTTTTTAAATTATAGACCAAGACTAGTATTTTGGCCAGAATAGGCTACTTAAAGTTAAAACAACTTAATGGATTTGTTTCTTACAAATATGCAGCTTTTGGCTTCACAAGACATTAACTGATGGACTGGAGTGGTGTGGATTATTGTGATGTTTTTATCAGCTGTTTGGACTCTCATTCTGACGGCATCCATTCACTGCAGAGCATCCATTAGTTGAACAAGTGATGTAATGCTACATTTCTCCAAATCTGATGAAGAAACAAACTCATCTACATCTTGGATGGCCTGAGAATGCAGCAAATTTTCATTTGGTGTGAATTACTGCTTTAAGTGTGTTTATTTACGGTTGGTGCGGAGATCTACAGAAAGATAAAGAACTGGGCCCGTATTTATCATGCTTCTTAAAGTGCCATTTTGGTCTTAAGTGCTGAGAATTCATGAAATTTACTCTTACTTTCAAACTTAAGTAAAAAAGCAAGTTATAAAATTTCTTAAAGCTAAGAATCACTCTTAATCTCCCAGTTATTTAAGACAGCTCGAGAGGTCTCTCAAGTGGTTAGGAGTTGGGGCTTGTGATGGCGCTGAGGAGACAGAGACGTATGCAAATCTTTCAGGAGAGGAAGAATGTTCTTGAAAAGTTTGACGACGAGCACTTAATCAAACGGTTACATTTCCTCAGTAATTCAAACCGAAAACGAGCAAAGAACATTTACAGTGCATCCTGGAAAGTATTCACAGCGCTTCACTTGTTCCACATTTTGTTATGTTACAGCCTTATTCCAAAATGGATTAAATTCATTATTTTCCTCAAAATTCTACAAACAATACCCCATAATGACAACGTGGAAGAAGTTTGTTTGAAATCTTTGCAAATTTATTTAGGAAAAAAAAAAAAAAAAAATCACATGTACATGCCATGCTCAAAATTGAGCTTAGGTGCATCCTGTTTCCACTTATCATCCTTGAAACGTTTCTACAACTTGATTGGAGTCCACCTGTGGTAAATTCAGTTGATTGGACATGATTTGGAAAGGCACACACCTGTCTATATAAGGTCCCACAGTAGCACAAACCAAGCCATGAAGTTCAAGGAATTGTCTGTAGACCTCCGAAACAGGATTGTATCGAGGCACAGATCTGGGGAAGAGTACAGAAAAATTTCTACAGCATTGAAGGGTCACAGAAGCATGTAGTCTCTGTTACCCTTAATGGAAGAAGTTTGAAACAACCAGGACTCTTCCTAGAGCTGGCCTCCTGGCCAAACTGAGCAACTGATGGAGAAGGGCCTTGTCTAGACTGGTGACCAAGAAGCTGATGGTCACTCTAGTTGAGCTCCATGATCATATATGCAAATGGGAGAAACCTACAGAAGGACAAACATCACTGCAACACTCCCACCGATCTGGACTTTATGGCGGTGTGGCCAAACTCAATCCTGTCCCCAGTGAAAAAGTCACATGAAAACACACTTGGAATTTGCAAAAAAAATAAAAAAGCTCCTAAATGACCCTCAGACTGTGAGAAACCATATTCTCTGGTCTGATGAACCTCAATTCCAAGCATCATGTTTGAAGGAAACCAGGCACTGCTCATCACCTGCAGATTACCATCCCAATAGTAAAGTGTGCTGTGGGCTGTTTTTCAGCAGTAGATGAAAATCTCAATGCACCAAAATATTGAGATAGCCTTAATGAAAACTAGAGGTCGACCGATTAATCGGACGCTTTTGGGCAGTTTTAAAATTAATCGGCATCGGCCGATTGTGCTGCAAATTAGGCTGATTTATAGGCAGGCGCATCTGCGGGCAGCTAAGTGTTGCTGTGGAACACCGGAGAATCTCTCTCTGGCTGTGTGACGAGAGACGGAGCAACTCACACTCTACAGCCACTTCTTGTTCACACAAAGCTTCAGCTAATGATGGCAGGGCAAAGCAGACCGTTTCGAAAGCATAATTACGTTTTACCCTATTAGAATAGATGCCGGAAAGTTATCATATTCATAAGTGCAACAATCATTTGCATGTGAAAGTAGAAATACATGCAATTCAGACTAAACTTCTGGGCTGATTATAACGTGCACGTTAACTTTCCTCGTGAAATGTGTGTGTAGGTCCGACAATAGCATCCACGATGTCATCGCTCGTGGCCAGTGCATTCTAAGCAGTTATGAGCAGCAGGCTGTGTAATATGTGTGAACTCTTTTATTTTTGTTATCACTTGGCCATTTGATTATAGCAGTGTCCAGTGTTTCCCATACATTGAGTTATTTGTGGCTCGTCACCGCCACAAATAGATTTCCCAAAAGGCTTATACTTCGTTGAATAAACTGAGCACTGCACGTTTCAAAACTAAAATGCAGCACTGGTGTTTTTATATGAATGTCTCTTTGAAAAGAACCGACCGTCTTCAGAAAAGCTTCGGTGTAATTTTCATTTCGCCTTTCCTGTAATGCCTGATAAAGTAGCGTTTGTGAGCACAGTGCTTATTAGATTACAGCCGTTACCGGGGAAACCACTACATCTCCCGCTCCAACAGCGCCTCCTGCTGGCGGAGAATGAATTTGCATTTGCAAGTCTGTGGGAAACGCTGGTGTCTGTCAGCAAACATAAACAAAAAGCATGCTTCAGAACTGTTTTGAGACGGTGCTTAAGTTTTGAGCCATGTATTATTACTCTGAATTAGGCTACTACTACTATTACTATCTTGTACCTTGCAATAATCATTTACTCAAACTCACTTTTATGAGATGGAGGGGGAAAAAAAAGAAAAAAGAAAATTGGCCAAACATATCGGCCCAAAAAAATCGGCATCATATTTCAGCCACCCTGATTTCTAAATATCGACATCGGCCAGTGAAAAACCCATATCGGTCGACCTCTAATGAAAACCCAGTCCAGAGCATTCAGAACCTCAGACTGGGCTGAAGGTTCACCTTCCAACAGGACAACGACGCTAAGTACACAGCAAGGGTGGCTTATAGACAACTCTGTGAATGTCCCTGACTGGCCCAGCCTGAGCCTGGGATTGAACCCAGTCAAATATTTCTGGAGAAACCTGAAATTGTGCATTGGCCCCCATCCAACCTGACAGAGCTTGAGAGGTGAAGAGGTGAGGAGAAGAATGGCAGATAACTGCCAAATGATGATGATCAAAGCTTGTTGCATCATACCCCAAAAACAAAGTCAACAAAGCTTCAACAAATTATTGAGCAAAGGCTGAGAATACTAATGTACATGTGATTTTTTTTTATTTTTATAACTTTGCAAAGATTTCAAACAAACTTCATGTTGTCATCATGGGGTATTGTTTATAGAATTTTGAGGAAAATAATGAATTTAATCCATTTTGGAATAAGACTGTAACATAACAAAATGTGGAAAAAGTGAAGCACTGTGAATATTTTCCGGATGCACTGTACATTACTAAAGAACATCATTACCGACTTCAGTCTAGCGCGAGTATTAAGCTCTTTAAAAAAACACCTGTTATAATAAGTGAAGCTATTTACACTGTATAATGAATAAATCTCTTACCACTTATTTGCACTGCACACGTCTGCGGTGCGTTACGGTCCGACACGGCCTCCGGAGCTGATTGTGGCCACTCTAGTCAATGCTTGTGTTTATACTAGCTGTGCTGTGGCACGTTTTTCTGAAGCGTCCCATTAGCGGCTCTCTGCACTACATCACTGAAGATAGGCGCCTAGTCTATTTTTGACGGATTATAATAATAATATTAATCGTCTTGCAATCGTCAGCAACAGGCGATATCTCTGACTATCGACTATCGGCACAACCCTAAAGCTTAAAGGCAGGTCAGTTAACAGCACACTGGTTTAAATTTGTAATTAAGACATGGTGGAAAACATGTTTATCTTTCCAACGTGTATATCATAATGTATTCTCTTGAAAATTCTTTAGTGTCAAATGTGTGTTGAATGTAAACTCCTCTTAGAAATTTTACCATTCAATGTGAATTTATCCGAGAATATTCTTAAATAAGGAAATCTATTCAGTGATGGGTCCATGCCTACTGTATGTCGTCATCCAAAATCCCATTTGTGGCACAGCAAAGTGTCATGAATCAACTCTAAGACTGACACTTAAGATTTAGTCCTACACTTCGCTTAAATTACAACTGAGATGCTTGATAAATAACTTTTAAGCAAAGCATTTTTTTTACACTTAAGTCAATACTTAGCAGTGTTCTTGAGAGTAATTCTTAGAGGCTTGATAAATACAGGCCCAGATCATTTGCGGGTTAACTCACACTCCCTCTACAGGCGTCCCAGCCATCTGGATGTCCTGGTGGTCCGTCTCCACATCCAACTCCGGCTCTCGGTTATCCATCAACTTCAAGTTATAAACTACAACCAGCGTACCTACAAACACACAGTACTCAGATATAACATCCTCATTCAAGACACAATCTAATGGATTTCATTTTTGACAGACTGCTTTAAAAACCAACCACTGGGTCCTTCGATCTTCTTGAACTGGCAGAATAGCTGCTCTTCATTCTTAAAAGGTGAATACTTAAATATGAGTTCAGTCTCAGTAGCGTACTTCTCTGTGTCTTGAGTCAGAGGTTGCTGGGTCTTCGCATCCCAACTGGGTAATGGGACAATCACCTTCGAGAACAGGCCAAAAACTCTCAGAAGTCTGCTTTTCGTTCAGAACGAGTGGTTGTATATGATGCCTGAAATCAACGTCTTACCTCGTCCAGACCCTCTTCTTCATGAAACGTTCGCGACAAAAACAAACACGTTAATTTGTCATCTTTTTTGGTGAAAAGAATGAAGTCCTTCCCAATACGCATGGAACCCCTAAAAAAGACCAGGATGTTTATGTATAAAAAAACCCAACTAAATATCAAGTTACGTGCATCTTATTGGTTTGTGAGAAAAGTGTCATAATACTTACGACTTTAATCCGTTTCCATACTGGCCAATGTGAGTGGACTCTGGGAATCGTTTGCTTGATTTGCCGAACTGGATGACATGTGTGGCTTCGCCTATTCAAAACATTTCTACTGTCATCACTGTGTCATGTATGAGATGTTGTTGAGTGGAAATGCATGCATTTTGTGGTATGAATGGTTCAGTTTTCTTTTCTTTGCTTTACTCACTGGGGTCCATTCCAGTGCCATCGTCAAGAAAACACAGAATAAACCCGCCTCTCAGATCTGGTCTCTTCTCTGATTGGCCATAACAAATGAATATTAACATATATTAGGGGTCAATTTATTTAGTTACAATACATATTTTTGCTAGTGTTGAAATGTATGACTGCAACATAAAACTATTGTATCCAACCTGTGTAGATGTCTATCCGTGTGGCATTTGCGTCTCTGTAGACGAGAAATGGAGTGAATGTTCACTTTAATGGTGCAAATCATTTAATTGATTCCTCAGTATGATTTAGTGTGTCAGTAATACTTAATAATTACTGACGGAAAAAACAGTGGTAGTACCTTGAGTTGTCCACAAGTTCGGCCAACGCTCCAAAAAGAAACTCGTGGGTTGTCCTGTCGGCAACAAAAATAATTAGTCAACAACAACAACAAAAAAAAAGTGATCGTTTTCATCGCCCTGTGTTACATAAGCGCAGAACAAGAGGCAACCTTCCAGTCTCTCTCGTGAAACCAACACGGAAGTGGCTTAAACTGTAATTCATCAACTGGCAGCTAGAGGCTGGCAGCAAAAGGGAGTCAATCCCATAGACTCCCCATGTTAAAATGCCCAACTTTACAGCAGAAAAAAACATGTTTACAGCCTGGTTCAAAAAATGATTTTGGTCTATATAGCTAATTTTGCCCTTCATGACAACTGTGAGGGGGGTGATCCGTTTAAATTATATTAAGCCTTAAAGTTCTGCATAATTAAGGGCGTGGCCACTTGAGTGACAGGTGGATTGCCGCTGCCGTCACCACCGTCGAGCTAGGTGGGCGTGGTTTCAGCAACCTGCTCCCGCCTCTTTGCCCATTTTCGATTATCCGGGAGTGACGCGCTGCCAAGATGGCGACGGCCCGCTCCGCCCACTTTGAGCTTCAAAAATGCTCTTTAGAAACCTACGGGTGGCGTCACGGACACTACGTCCATGTTTTTTTTTACAGTCTATGGTGCAGAAGTATGCGACAAAGTTGAGTTGTTACACAAGAACAATTCAGCATTATTAAAACATTGTCACGAATGTACAACCAAAACAACATCCACATTCAAAACTGCTCTTTGGTGTTCGATTCACATACACATTTACACCGTCTGCCCTCCCACTGATAGTAAGCGCATCAAAAATTGAGCTCTGCATCGCCAAATGTCAATCGTGCCACAGCATTTCATCAAAAAGGAATGACTTCTTGTCATGTTATCGCTGCAAACTGCTCTGTAGAAAGTAGAAGCAGGATCTCACAGACTGTTCACCGACCATCAATGGATGTTGACAAAAATGGCCGCTTTTGAGAATCACAAGTTCCACTCTGATTGGCTGACTGCTATGCAAGTTTTAGCAGTCAGGGTGTACCAAGTTCATCAATCAAAAAAAGATCAATCTTTAAAATTTGTAACAGTCAACACTAGTCTATGTGGTAAATGCTTGGCATTTATATAAGATGTAATTGTCAGATGACAAATGAACATTTTTACACTAACTTATGCTCAAAAACACATAATATTCTGCGATCCCACAGCCGCATAATCTAAAGACTTAAAATCAAGCACACAGTCTCAAAAATACCAAAGGAATCTTTCCCAGAGTTCTCATGGTAGCCTGTTTCAGGACGTTTCTCTTTCAGGAATGGTTGTACTGAGCTCCATTATGAAAAAACCATGACATAGTTTTATTTATAAAACGGATAGTTCCGGTCCTTGATTCTGATTGGTTGAGCTGCGTTCGAAGCTGTTGTAAATTACTCTACAAACACACCTTTGTTTACTTTGTGTGTTGCTTGGCAATCACTTTGTTGCAAGCACAACTGTTTCTGAGGAACTACATCGTTTGGCGGAAGAATACAGTTTTTATTAATATCATTACACTTTATTTGCTGTTTTATTTTGTGAAACCTAACTACGTATACGGAATAACCGTTTTATAAAAGCAATAAACCCCGTGAAGCCGTGGTTTACAGTGAATTTATAACAGCTAAGGGGCGTGGTTTGGCACGGCACTCCACTTCGTGCCAAACAACGCCCCTTAGCCGTTATAAATTCACTGTAAACCACGGCTTCACAAGGCTTACTGCTTTATTAATTACACACTAAAATGAGTACTTACGAGTTTGTGTGCAGATATTCAAAGGTGAGCTGAGCTCGGTTTAGTGAGCTGTAATTTGTGTAGGCCATCGTCTCAAAATAAAACGAAATTAAAACAACGAGAAAACCAGCTGATTGTATTCACGTCTCTACATTCTTCTCATACGATGAGAATCAAGTGTGATTGTTCAACACCTAGAAAACAAGAAACAAACATGTCAGTACAATCCATCCATAGATCCATTGCAAAACTGTAGTATACCACCTGTTGACCAACTCCTTGGAAAATGTCATATTAACATACGGCTTACTGTGATTTATACTTTTTATAAATATTAAGTGACAACAGTAGGTTATACGCAACCGTACAAACAGTAGTTTGCTACGTTACGGCTATGATGATCACATGTGGCGCCAAGTGACATTTTTGGGAAAAATTTGTATTCTTAATTCAATTTTGAGTAAAAAATTCTCTTTACTTGAGGCTGTCAAATTAATAAGTCAAAATAGAGATAGTAATAAAAATCGTAATTACTTCCAATGCATTCAAGTGCAATGCATTGTGGAGATCCATACAGTGTGTTATGTTGTATACTGCATTTTGGCAAATGTATTTGAATACTGTGCCTAGTGTACATACTACATAATCACAGAAACTGTAAAGTAGCATGTTATATCAAGAATAGCCTCAAATTGAAACAGTATTCGAAACCTTATGAAACTACAACACTTGCCATTCTGTGTGCTTTTCTATCTCTGGTCATATCAAACATTTAGGCACTGTAAATTGTGTGGCTTTTTATTATATTTTCTTATTTGTAGGCATGCATGATGCATTCGTTGGAACATTTCCAGACTCCTGCCTTTTAAAATGATAATGCATGTTGTCTTTTTCTGGGCTAAATAATGAATTATACAGGTGAGCTCATAAATGGGCTGTGTCTCATGAGGGACATTTTACTGTCCGTCCTTGAAGTGACTAAATTCACACAGAAACACACGCCAGGCCAGCCCAGCCCATGCTGCAAGGCCCTTGAGAGCCATGCAACAGCAGAGACTGGTGATCTGCTAACACTTTCATTCACTAAACGCTCAAATTAGCATCTAGGCTGTCGAATGTAACTCCTGACTCATGCAATAAAGCATGCACAGGAGCACTGGACAAATAACTGCGGCCCTGCCCATAAACAACCGTCCACATTTACAAAACCAGCAGCCTTTGTACAGTAACACAAGCAATAATGTGATTTCAATAATGCAAACCATTCCGCGACCTCCGTTTGAATTTATCCAAAGGTTTCTGCCTGTTGCATGAGGGAAAACTACCAAACAGAACGTGTTTATTCCTTTTTCGTTCATATGAAGTAGATGCAAGGCCTCGAATCGCTCCAGCAGATTTTTCCCTCGAACAAACACGCACAAGCAACGAGACAGCATGCCCCGCCCTCCTCGCCGCGCTCAGCCAATCACGTTGCCCGCTGCGTCATTACACGCGTCTGATTAGTTGAAGTCGCCGTCGTTTAACGTAAAGCAGGAAGTAAGTTTGCTGGTCCATGAAGGAATGTGGCGTGGAGGCAATCGTGCTAAAGCACAAAACGACTAGCTAATCTATAAGCTGACCTGCCGCTATTGGTTTTTAAAATCATATAAAAGGTAATAATGATACGACAACATTTATGTAATATAAAACCACGAGGTCGCGTTTTGTCATTTAAGTTGATTTACTAGTACCTATAGTTTTGTGGTTTAAGTTTAAAACAGCGTTTTAGCAAAACGTTTTTGGTAAAAGTGAATGCTGAGGATGAAAGCTGTATGTAATGGACGAAGGGGACAAAATGTCTGCCGTCTCTTCTGAACATAAAAGCGGTTGGATCTCTTCAAACAGATACCATTCACTGATTTCGAAGTGTTGTAATGTTTTTATACTACAACTGAAATTGGTGAGAAATCACATCTGTTTGTGTCAATAGACTCTGAAAGGCGCAAAGGAAAAAAATGTGTTGGTAGCGGCCCGCACTTTTTAGCCAATAAGAAAACACGGGCTGCTTTTTTTACATGTTCGGATTGGCTGATGTTTCTCTGGGGGCGGGGTTTGAAGACTGTGTTGTAGATTGAATGGGGGGGGTATTCAGTAATATCAATATGATATTTCTATTAAAATTAAGTTTCGAAGAATTAAATGGGTAACGATAACATTTAAAGGTGTAATTTTAAACATTTAATAGGCTTAATCAAAAATTATTAATCTTTTATTAATTTAGAATTGAATGTAAACACACAAGGCCAATGTAATACATTAGATATTTAGGTAAATTGTTTGTGAAATGATTCAAGATGAAGTTTATGCTGTCTTTGCTTTGTTAACGTCAAGATCTATCCACCAATTCCTGACTGATGATTGGCCGTTGTGATAAAAAGTGGTTTTTGTGAATTGTCAAAAGGTAAGTGTGTTTTGTGTGGAGTTTTTGTACGTGAATTAAAAGACCAGAACACTGAACGCACCACCACTGAATAATGTCCAGACACCTTTACTGCACAATGGAATATTTTAATACATTTTGTTTTTAGAAAAAATAAATGTGCAATGAATTAATGTATTTAAATCAAATTCATATTCAAGATATTCATTCGTGTGACGTCAAGATAAGGCTTTCAATCATCTAACTTACTCTTGGAAGGCGCAAAGGAAAAAAATGTGTTGGTAGCGGCCCGCACTTTTTAGCCAATAAGAAAACACGGGCTGCTTTTTTTACATGTTCGGATTGGCTGATGTTTCTCTGGGGGCGGGGTTTGAAGACTGTTGTAGATTGAATGGGGGGGTATTCAGTAATATCAATATTCTATTAAAATTAAGTTTCGAAGAATTAAATGGGTAACGATAACATTTAAAGGTGTAATTTTAAACATTTAATAGGCTTAATCAAAAATTATTAATCTTTTATTAATTTAGAAGTGAATGTAAACACACAAGGCCAATGTAATACATTAGATATTTAGGTAAATTGTTTGTGAAATGATTCAAGATGAAGTTTATGCTGTCTTTGCTTTGTTAACGTCAAGATCTATCCACCAATTCCTGACTGATGATTGGTCGTTGTGATAAAAAGTGGTTTTTGTGAATTGTCAAAAGGTAAGTGTGTTTTGTGTGGAGTTTTTGTACGTGAATTAAAAGACCAGAACACTGAACGCACCACCACTGAATAATGTCCAGACACCTTTACTGCACAATGGAATATTTTAATACATTTTTTTAGAAAAAATAAATGTGCAATGAATTAATGTATTTAAATCAAATTCATATTCAAGATATTCATTCGTGTGACGTCAAGATAAGGCTTTCAATCATCTAACTTACTCTTGGAGTATAGTTATATTATAACCACCAATCTCAGGTTATGTTGCGATTGTTAACACTTACATATCATAGCATAATGCTGCAACCAAACATGAAATAAAGTCACATTTAGATGAGATCTATTCTGAATGAATTGCATGCAGCCTGCATAACTGGTTGCAATTTTTTAGCTCCACAAGACAAACATGTTGGGAATAGACAATTACTGTTGAATACCCAAATGCTCATTTCTTTCAGTAGCAGATGTCTTCATGTGTTCTGATGGTACGAGGTGCCAGTTCACTCTCAAACGTGGACGTTCTGCAGATTTTTCCTCATTGGCTCAGCAGCGATTCCTATGAATTATTTCAATTGTTTAAATGCTTTTAAAACAAACTATAATAAAACTCAAAACATGCTAATTCACACAAACTTGCATGCATTCTCAAGAAAAAATGCAAATCAAATAGAGCACTATATACTAAGTATTAGAGAGCTCTTTAGTAAATCGGAGTACATTGGTATGCTCTACAGTTCAAATCCATAGTACTACCTTTTGAAGGTCATTCCCCTGGAAAGAACGTGGCGAATGTGAAGAAAAAGTTCCACAGAGACTCATGAGGACACAGATAACCATCAGCGCAACACTAACCAGCAACAGGTGATACCTGCACAAGGCTTTTTCATCCTAGTCAAGCAATGCAGAAGTGGAGAGGTTAGCTACATGATGCGATGATGGTGCACAATTGACACTGTTATTGAACTTGATTGATCTAAATAGTGACACTGTAGAGCTGCTTTGCAGGTGAAATTGAATTTGAGTTATTGAATGAATTTCACAACATTAACACTTATTTTCCTGTTTATTAATGTGAAGCTGCTTTGAAACAATCTTTACACTCTTTAAAATACAGGTTCCAGAGGGGTATGCCATAGAAGAACCATTTTTTGGTTCTCTGAAGAACCTTTCGGTGAACAGTTTTTCTTAGTGTGAAGAACATTTTAATGGTTTAAAATCCTTTTGAGCAATGAAAAGGTTCTACACTACTAAATAAAGGCTCTTTACTGGCATCTGTGGTTCTATGAAGAACCTTTTAACACCCATGGGACCTTTCTGTTCCACAAAAGTTTTAAAGGGGTCATATGATGCGATTTAAATTTTTCCTTTCTCTTTGGAATGTTACAAGCTCTTGGTGCATAAAGAAGATCTGTAAAGTTGCAAAGACTAAAGTCTCCAATCCAAAGAGATATTCTTTATAAAAGTTAAGAGTCAACCACGCCTACCTAAAACGGCTCGTTCTAACACGCCCCCACATATCTACGTCACTATGTGGGAAGATTTGCATAACGCCGCCCAAATGTTCACGCAAAGAAAGAAGGCGTAACTTTTATTCTCGCTGTAGTATTGTTGTTGCCGCCGCCATGTCGTGAAGACGCTGTGTGCTTCGTTGTGAAAGCGAAACTACTTTGTTTGGCTTTCCAAAAGAGGTCGATATCTGCTTCGTCGTGCCTGGGGCTGATCCGTGCTGGTCGCTGAGGAAATACATCAACTTTGCGCTGTGGATCGCCGGATCAGCTTTCACTGTGGATGAAGCGGAGTCCAGCCCGGAGTTGTCACATGTGGTTGCCGCAAGCCCTCCGGACGCTCCTTCGTCGAATCCGCCGCCTCCGCTCACTCTAGGCCACCGTGTGTCTCATCAGTCCACAGAATATTTGCCCAAAAGTTTTGAGGATAATCAAGATATTTTTTGGCAAATGAGAGACGAGTCTTTGTG